TGAGGATGCTGTGGGAGACTGTGTCAAATTTCTCTTAAACAATTGCTCTTAAACAGAGTGGATAATTTTTTTATTTTCATTTTACTGCAGAGAATAGTCCCAGAAAATTTCCCTTACAGATATAGAGCTCACCTCCTTCACCATCATCTGACCCTCTGAAGCTGGGATCCTTCAGCATATCCAGCTCAGCTAACATACGCACATACAACACGTTCTGTTTGAATGAAGGGTAGAATCTTTCATCCCGCAGCATCAATTCATATACCTTATTGAAATAAAAATGCCAACCTTAGAAATACTTATTACATTTTTAATTAATCAGACAAGCCTTCATAAATTCTACTGGATCAACTTTTTTCTGTGCATTTTATTATGTATCTCTGGTTTTCCTTTAAAACCCTAATGGGGGCTTGTGAAATTCTAATTCAGGCTTACTCTTAGTGGAAAGGTTGAGAACTAATTGTGCTGAGAGTGTAATACAGTCTCAAAAAGTATTTAACTAGTGAGACAGGCATGCACACTGAGGAAGGCAGCACACTAACTGTAAATGTTGCTTCCTCTCCTCTTAAACCTGCCAATTGCACTATACACATATTTGGGTTTTACCCATTTCACAACAGGCTCTCTCAGAGTCCTTCTTTGCTGATAAACTGCAAAGGTAGACCTGCAAACACTTAGAGGGAGAGGTAAGAAGACGGACAGGAAGGGAGGAAAGACATCGCACATACTGCTTTCCTGAAAGTTTCCAGTTTGGCCAATATAGTATAACCCTAGCTCATACAGATTTAACCACACCACCTCAACAAGTTCTCTATATAGCCTATACGGATAGATATAAAATCACACTCAGGATCCTTATAAACTACTTTGAGCAATGCAAATTTCACAAGGTGTTTTAATTAGTCTGAAACATGGACCTCAAGTACAATAGACTGATTCTAAGTTCTACAGCTCATATCACTAATTTTTAGCATGAATGAGAACATCAAGTTAGTGACCTACAATCAAAACCTCTCAAATTGGGTATATAATTTACTGCCAGGGTATTAATAATTAAGTTTCTTTTTAATATGTATTTTAGGCTTGAGTGGTAAACTACATATGCAGATAAAAAAAACGACTGCTTTATCTTCAGTACTTGCTGCTTCTGAGTGCTACACTGTGCAGGCTTGTAGAGAGAGAACAGTCACATTAGCTCCTGGAAAGAGGTATAGAATTTAATATGGTAACATGCTTACATCCACCTTTGAGAAAGTGAGCTAAAATTGGACCAAAATTGTACCCTTAGTTATTCTACACAGGCACGTTCTCTTAAATTGATGCACAAATAATAATCCCATAAATCTAAATAGTGCTGCACAATGTATTTCATACAGGGCACCTACTCCTATCTGTATATTGCTTTGAAAACCATGAGCTACACATGGTTAAGCAGAAGTTTGGAAGTTAGAGTATGATCTCTGTAGAATAGAAAAATGGTAAGACAATAAGGTTTCAGATATTTGAGGTTATTCCTCCTTTTCCAATGGTTGTAGTTGCATTTAATATTCTATAGCCTTAACAGTTCTTTTGAAATACAGGATGAAAATAATATACCTTTCTCTGAATGTCATCAAAGATTTCAGGTGTTGGATCTTCATGGTTCAGTGTTTCTGCCAGTTTTGCTACTAAGTTGTCATCAATATTAACTCTTGGAGATGCCTGTCATAAAGATCTAAATCAGCTTTTGCTGCATAAAAAGAAGAAAGCTTCTCTTTTCACAAATAATTGCAGAATTGTATTGTATTTTCTCTAGGCAAACTATATTTATTCTTGATGAGTACCTCTAGGTCTGGAACTGTCTAGAACACACAACAGGAGTCGGAGCCCCTCACCATTTCAAAATTCAGAGTTTGTATTAAAACTCCGAAGTTTCAGAATTAAATACTAAGAATCACTTCAAAAAACACTTAAGCATATTATTTTGAAGCAGTATCTAAACCAAATTTACTCATACTTAAAAAGAGACTTTTTTAATGAAAAGAAAGATCTAAATTCAGAAATTAAGAACAAGACAGTATGGAAGTAAATGGATGAAATCCTGAAGCACTTAAGAATGGCAGAGTTGACAAGCTGTTAGCCTATTTCTAAGGAGATTAACAGTAGCTGCTACAGCAGAGCTACCACCATACAACTGTACCAACCAACAGATTCCCAGTTATCCCTTGGTATGACACATTTCAAACCACTGCCCATTAAACACCTTTTCAGATGAGCCCAAGTTTATACACTTTCCCTGTTTTCTGTAATAGAGATAGGGAGCCAGCACTGAACCAGACCCACCACAGCTCACTCGATCTATTAGGCCCAGCTGAGAGGCTGAGTTTATCAGCTTTGAAATAGCTCTGCTGTTAGGTGGCTTCTGACTTCAAACCTGTGAGCATTCAGCCAGCTCAAAAATCCATCACAGCAAGCTCTGCACAGTCTAAAGACCACCATGTCGATAGAATATTGAGGAGAAAAACCAAAGTGAAATAAATTATGCAGAAAGAGAAGCATTACAAGAGATTTGAGGGATAATTTGTTAAGGGAAGGTTTTGAGTGAGTTGAGAGGTGGTTTTTATGCACACAAATTCAGAACAAAGATGCTTTGTTATGCAAGTTGAGAAGTGTTTTCTTTCACAGACTACTCTGTTATTACAATACTGAAAGCATTCAAGCTTAGCCTATTGAGAGACACCCAATGGTGATATTGGAGGAATTTATCTAGACAATTGTACAGGCACAGGAAGTTATTTCATTTGGAAACCCAATCTTAGTCCAAGTTTGTACAAATACTGGGTTGCATCTTTTTGAAAAGATTTCTCCTTGAGATGAGGCAGAGGACAGGGTAAAAGGAAGGGAAAGGGGAAAGGTCAGCACACACTGAAGGACAGATTTTCTTATTCTGTCTTCACATTTTCTCTGGTTCCTCTCTATTCTAGAAAGTCAACTTGAGGAACACATTAAGTGCATTTAACAGGATAGTCAGTGCCAGTATGAGACTTTTTACTTGTAAACAACTTCTGCTACATCACATCCATTTCATATTAGTGTAGCCATAACTACTGAAGAAGCATCTGTACAAAGAATAAATTCTAAACAATGCAGAAATAAGTTATTCCTACCTTTTCTGATAAATACTGCTCATAAACTCCAAATGCAGCTGCTCTTAATAGACCCTTGGTTTGATTAGTCTGATGTTTTCCATCTTTCTGTCGGCTTTGAAGTACCTCCAGCTGTTGCTGTGCCGTAACCCTGTATCCTTCCACTGTCATCCAGAAAAACAGATGTGCTTGGCCACCAGTCTGCTGCATGTAATCTACAGAAAACAACCATCACACAATCATAGTTATAGAATAAGAATTCTCTATGATGTTAATTACATACAGAACTCCAGAATTTGGGATCTGGAATACTTGTCATCCAGAGTCAAAAAGTACTATATATATACTGGTGATAATCAGTAAACAAAACTGGGAGCAAAGTCTAGGAACTAAGCACTAAATCCTGAAATACACATATAAAAAGTGAATCCACCATTACTGTACGGATGTAACAGGCTTGTGCAGCATGGTGCAAGTTGAGAGGAAGTTCAAACTGGAATTGTAACAAATCACATGCATCTGCTGCATTAAAAGGACTACCACCACCACCAAAAGTGATTGATATTCTTAGTAATGACCATCAGCAGCTCAATTAATTCACAGAAGAAACTCAAACATTAGAAAGTATTAAAAATTAATTACACAACTTTAATCCTCCTACCAATTTCTTGATTATATGACAAACCTAAACCAGTACATAAATTACTACCATATTTTAGCTTCTCAAACAGAAAACTTCCAGTAGCCTTGTAATCCTCTGAACTTTAATCTATAGTCATTAGTTCCATTAGCTTCAGTGAGACCAGCAAAAGTAAGACTAACGATTGTGGTAAGTTTCAGAGAAATTCCAATTATAAACCTCTATGCAATTCTTGCAAACGAGTCTGTTCTAAACAGAACGCACTTGGAAAGTGATAGACCAAGAAACATTGCAAGAAACAATTCCAATTACTTTTAGAAGTAATGAGTATAGTGTTCTAAACAGTTAACTATGGGCTGATTTGCAAAAAAGGTTTTGGTTCCCTCTTGTAAGAGGTTTATACACACTTAGCTCTCAGTAGACACCTCTATTTAGTGATTTCAAGTGCACACTCCTGTGAGTTAGCACATTCATTATAAATAAAAAGAGAACAGACAAATTAACACTTACCCATAAAAAATTGTAGTGCAACATTGTCTACCAGAATATGGTCCAGAGGGACTGTGCAAAGTTTTCCAAAGTTTGCTGCCAGTTTCACAGTATCTATTTCCTGTAAGACACAGTTCAGGCTGTTCATAGTTGTTTTTTCATAAAATTGGGTTTTAAAACTTCTGCTTACCACAAAGCAGAAATAATAAAAATCAACTTACATTACTGATAATAAAGCAGCCTCTCAATGCTTAGCTATTTTCACAATCACTAATAAGTGAAGAACTAGATCATAAGGTCAAACAACTCTAAACATGTGAACTTTTAGAAACTGTTTCTGTACTTAAACACAGGATTAACTTCAGTTGCGTAATGTACTGTTATAACTGCATACTTCAAGTTGTGTTTCAAAACACAAGAATTAAAAAGCCAGCCAGCAAGAACTAGTAAGTCATTTGCAGCTTCACTCTTATGGAACTAAAAAAATTTGAAACCACTTACTTTTCCTGACTGCAACCTCTGAATTCTTGAATCACATACTTTAATAACATATAATAAACTGTTTATTTGATTTTTTATAGTGTTGATATCTGAAAGCAAAAACAAAGAGGATTAGCAATGCAGACGAGTAAATAAACTCTTGTTCTGAAATGCTCTAAAGACATCATACAGAAAGTGCTATACAACTTACAAAACACATCAGGTTTGAAGAGAAGGGTTTTTTTCAGTTTAAATACCTTTTTGACAAAAGTGAAAAGTAAGAAACATTTTTTTGCTCTCTTCTTTTTCAGATTATCTTTTAACAGACTACATAAAGTATTACTGAAATTCATAACCAACAAGTTTCAGTTCAGTTGAAGTACACATACCTAACCAACTAGTCTATTATTTTTTCTAAAACACACGTGAAGATTTAAGTTTAAACATTTCACTTATAATTAACTTATTTTTAAAATAACAAAACATTTTATACTATGCCACATCAGTTTTTATTTTCAAAATTTTTGAAATGTTCTTCAGAGGTCATGCTGGCAAATGCACTTCGTATTTGTAAAACAATACGGCACTAACCATCTCCCGCTGTATCTAGAGATCGAAGATACTGCAGTTCTTCACTTGCTTTATCTTTCACTGCTTCCAACTCTCCTATATTATCACTTAATTTAATAATATTCATAAAGGCCTCATAGTTACAGTTGGAATCACGAATCTGAAACAGAAGTTTTACAGCGTGAATAACACAAAACAGGTAAAAGCACATGACAATTTTTCATCATATGAATTATTTTCACACAGTATTGCAAAGTGGCATTTTCAAAACACTTTAATGCTTCTAAACCTTTCTTATGATACTAAAATTTTACATGGATTGAGAAAGACACACAGTCAATACCTATTCTGTTTTCAAGAAATACAACAAAGACACATGGAAAGTGCATCGGCCTCCTTAATGAAGATCTTGTCCGAAACCAAATCAACCTGGACTTGATGATCTCAGAGGTCTTTTCCAGCCTCAATAATTCTGTGATTCCTTCTGCTGTTACCCACCTCCTTAGCTAAGGAGGCAGAAACTCGTGAGACCACTGAAAAGGTTTCAGCTTTGCCAAGGTGCCCTGCCAGTGTATGTGTTCCCAATGTAACAGCTTCTTAAGATACAGAATTACAAAGAGAACTGAAACATTCTACAACCTACTGGGAAGGAAAGAAAAAAGGAAATTACTGAATTAAGATCGTCTCAAACTCTAATTCAGATACCCAGATTCAGATATTCAGATTCAAATGCTATTAAGGTATTTCAATACATACTATTTTCCCGGTATTGGCAAAGGGTGAACCTGCTTTGGGGACTCAAAGGAACTTGTGTAAGCAAAGGAAGCTTGCTGCGCTGCCGAGATCACTGGAAACTACATTGTGAATGCAGCATGGAGATCAGGGGAAGGCTGGCAGCTTTACAGCACATGCACGCAGGTGCAGAGGGTTGAGTTCTAATGCTGTCTTTACCACCTAAACCTCAAAAAGTCACTTCATCGCCATCTTCCATAAATGATCACTTTGATATGGAAATTCAGTACTTGGTCTGTACTGCAGAAGTGTATGGACATGAGTTGCACAGAGCAGAGCAGAGAGAAGGAAGGCTGGATACCTCTGACCAAAGTTAATGGAAAACCTTCCTAGAAATCTGCTTTTAAAAGTAACAGTACAAGTAATACTCAAACTTCAAACATTTTTCAAAAATGCCTCTCTTCACTGTGAAATTCACAAGTCTGGATTAACTTCTAATTTTGAATTGAAGCTTTATAGTTCTTTGCAAGAGAACTAGCATCAAACTGTGGTGTGCCTAGAAACATGGAATGAAACTTCTCATTTTCAGAAACTGACTTTTCATCCGAATCTGATTTTATTTCAAAGGTTCCAAAGAAAGACAAAATTTATTTAAGTCATCTCTATTTCTGACCTTAATCTCTGCAATAATCTTCATTTCATAAGACTTGTATCAAATTTTTGAAAGCATTTATTCTTCCTTATCTTTCCCCCAGCACATTTACTTCCTCATCTCAGAAAGCAATTATGAAAATTAATACTTGGGACATCACCATCATAACGGAAAGCTTTATAAAAACCTCAGAATTCTATCTTTGGATGCAGCTGGGGGCAGTGCTCAGTAAATAAAGAATGAGGCCAAGTTACAAATAAAGAACATGCGTAGGAGGAAAGGGGAAACAAAAATTGAAAAGCTTGGCCCAGATGAGCAGCAGTATTTTTTCTTATTGAAGCTAAGTTTCTGTAGAAAGGCAGCGTGCAAACTTTTACGTGAAATGGAGGTGAAGGAAATGCTGTACATGTGAATTTTACTCTGAAATCCAAGGGTGTTTTCAGCATATTACTTCAATACACACTATAAGACTAAAATACATGAATAAAAGAGACAACTAGGGGAAAGGGAAAAAAAATTAAGACTTGATTCATGACCTGTAAGGGATAATAAACTGCAAGAGTTAAGGTATAACTTGCTTTGCAAAAAATCGTTAAAGTGTAAATATTCTATTTATGTTGATTTTACTAAATATTACTATTTCTAAAAGTTTAGATTTTTTTTTTGCAGGTGCATTAGGGAGACATCTAAGTAAGGACTTTGTTTCTTCCTATTCAGTTAAATGATTAAGTGTCGCCACAAATATTCCTAGTAGAATCACCTTGAGATTCCATAGCAGAAGCAAAACAAAAAAACTCCCTATCTTGCTACCTCCCATTCTGGAGGCCTCTTAAGCTTTAAAGGATACTTCGTAAAAAGAGTCACAGAAAAAAAACTTCCAAGGTTACTGCCATACTTCCTGATCAGCTAAGTTAAACAGTCAGAGGACTGAACTTTATACTTTGTCATACATCTGTCCTCAGTCAGGCAGCTTTTGCCAAACAACCACCACACAGAGTTCAGATAATACAGAGTGTTAATGTGCGTGTGTGTATATATATGTATATATAAAAATATAAATAAAATTATTACATATGTATGTAAAATTTATTATAGCAGCGATAAGTTCACTATCTCTGCCAATATAATGATTGGTAACTTTTCTACCAGTTATCTGTCTGCCATGAATACAGGGAACACAGGGAAAGGTTTATATGAAAATATTCTGGAAATATAATTCATTTTAAACATTACAAATCTTACCATCCATATGACATACTGATTAATATAATCAGGATCACTGAGCTGGTTTATTAATGGAAGAAGAATTCCTCGGGAGAGGATTTCCTGAAAAACAAAATATAATAAATAAATATTTCTACACATTTATTCAAGCTGATAATGGTAACAATTTAAAAATCACTACACAGAGGCTAAATAAAAATATGTAATTACGAAAACATTCAACATACTAGCATGTTTCCGTTCAACTAACATTAGAAGATGCTAATATCGCAAGGAAAACAACATTAATTTTATCATGCTTTTCTAATGTTGCTAAAGGTAAAATAAACTTCAAAAACATTTCACAAAAACTGTTCTCTGCCATTAAATTAAGTTTGTTATTAAGTTATTAAGTTTGTACTGCATTTAAAATAATCTAATGTTAAATTAGAACAATTCCACAAAATAAGAGCAGCAGTTTAAATCTAAATTTTTTTACGGCATTGAATCAAAGAATTGGGATGCTTTTTGGGTCTGCACTTACCCTGACAAAGTATCGCATGATCTTGTTCTGGAAGTCTCCAGGAGGTAGCAATATATACAGTAAAACCTCACACAGATCCCTTAGGAATCCTAGGGATGGAGAACAACAGCACAATTTTGTATTAAGTTATTTCACATCTTACCTGCTACAATAAAAACCAACAGGTAAATCCCCAAAATTAAGTTCAAATATACAGTCATATACATTCTTATAGTTGAAGCATCACAGTAACACCCATCAGGCTGAATATAAGCGACACCAGTGTAAACATAACTGAGATGGAGCTAGTCTCAAAACCAAGAAAAAAAGAAAGCCAAATTCCAAGAAGCAAAAAAATAACTCCAGTGTATTTTCCTTATTTAACATATACAAGGATTTTTCCCCCTCCTTCACACAAAAAAAAGATAAACTGATTTTTTTTAATGAAGACTATGAAGTAGTGATAAGGAAGGCAGTACTGCTTTACAAAAAGCGGTAAGAATCTGTAAAGCCATTGCTTGCTTCCCAAAAAACATTTCTCTGTCTTAAAATTCTTGCAGTGAAAAGAGGAATAGCTACATATGTACATACTTCATTATAATTTTAGCAGTAATATGTTCAAATTAGAGGAAAGACACATTCATAATAGATAATTATGCTCTGAAAATCACAGGCTAAGATGTCAGTATATTTCACATTGTGAACACAATTGTTAGTATCATAATTTAGTCAGCTATACTAAAATAACTTCAGAAGATAAGAGTGAGAAACCTTCTTCATCTTTGGGAGAAGTGCAGACTAGGTCACGACAGACTTCTTTTTCCATTTCAACTTCAACCTCAAAGAATGTATCTACAAGTTCCTCAGCTTGGTCTGCACAAAAGAAAATAAAAAGAAACACATTTTTTTGTAAAGATTAGAAACTTGAGAGTAAACTTGAATTATAAAATAAAGTTAACTAGATATCACACATGTAAGATAACTGCCTACTCAGGCTCAAATTAAAAACAATATTTAAATCATTATGTTACCTTTCATCTGGTCACCTTTCTCTGCTATTCTTTGTTGAGCTTTTCTGAAAACTCTAAGATGAGTGCCAAAGTCATCAACAAGTCGTGTAGTGAAATAAGGCTGCCAGTCTGTTTCCTTTGATCTGTCAGAAAAGGACATCCACGAAAATGAATTATTTTATCCTGAACACAAAGAACAATAATCAATTTCTACTCCTTCCTCCCCGCCAAGAACCACACTGGTAGTAAATATGGAAAAGCAAATAAATAAATCAGTATCCTAACTGCCTATCCACTGAAACAGATCAAATATTGTAAAATATCACTCTCGCAACACATTATTATTTATGCTTGAACTACTTGAAGGTCAACCTTAGTATCTGGAATAACGTTCTGACTCATGATATTGTTAAACATCTGTGAAAAATCCTGATGGAAACAGTCTACAACCTAAAAACTAAAATACTCCCCAGGTGTTTTTCAGCCATACTTTCATCTTTATGAAAGGCATCTAAACAAAACCACAGTCATCTGAATTTGCAGTAGTATATCCATGAGTGAGAAAACATGTTTCACCTGAAGTTACAAGCAACCCAATATCATCAACAATTGATTCCACAGCTTATATGAGAGGTAATTAACATGAATGTCCAACAATGCACATAGGTTAATGTCAGAAAACAGTCACTGTTAGATTTGCATAAAACTATTTCCTTAGTCGTACGAAAAAGATGCAGAGAAAATTCTTATGACGTCCATGCCTTACAACTCAAACTGAACAGGCACTTGTGCACTACGAGTTTAATGAGTGATGGCTTTCACTCTGCACTAAGTATTCCACTACCTTAAGTCCCTCAGATACCTACTTTGTTATAGCAGAATCCTTCTACAACGTTTGCTTTTTTGTGTTTGTTCCCTCACCTGCTCTTTCTTCCCTCAAAGAGAGAGGAAGGGATAAGGAACTCTGGAAGAGGGAGAAGCCTACTGCAAAATCTAGATGTGGAAATAAGAAGCAGAGCTGTCTCAAAGGGTAGTAAACGAAAACCACAATAATCCACATCCACCATCCGCACAATCAAGAAATCCTACAAGCACACTAGGTGGCAGCCTTACATCATTCTCCCAATCTGCAACTCAAGGAAAAAATAAAATAAAAAAAATCCCACTGTATTTATTCTCTCCAGAAGTTCACTTGGCAAATTAATTTAGAGATGATGGTGCTAATCTAAGACTGCTACATTTATATCCAACTACAGTAATTATAAATACACTGGATCATTTTCTCTTGAAAGGAACAATCAATTATTTCAGCCCTGTGAAAGTGATCTGATTTGTACAGAACACAACTGCACAGCAGTGGTGGCTATTTCTGAAGAGCTATAGCAATGTAGGGAACAAAATTAAATTTGCTATAACTTGGCCTGCTTTGACACAAACCCAGTGCCTGATACTATTCAATGAAATAAATTCACCAAATAGACAAAAACATGGCAGTTATGCGGCCAGGTCTATCTCATGTAAGCACAGGACTGTTTGCTGTAATGTACTGTTTGGTTAGCCTAATTTTCACTATTTCCAACACTGTATCCTAGGATTATTTCACAATTAATAAGATTTTATTATAATAAGCCTTTTCTAGTGTTAAACTTCCTTCACCATCACTGACCCTTTTTTGCCAGAAAAGCACACCGATCTGCATTTTCAAGTCAACAGGGGGAGGGGATAACATCACCTCAAAATTGCTAAGGAGTTTATTATATTTAGGTGACCACAACCCTCTTTGAAGGGAAAACAGATAACAATCAGCATGGTGGGATGAATACCTGAAATCACTACTTAACAAAGTAGATAGATATAAACACATGTGGTACCTGAGCTGAGAAATCAACCATACTAAACAAGAGAAATCATTTCCCAGACAAGTTCCCTGGCTTTTTGCAAATTGATTAAGTAACAACAGAAAAAAAAAAAGACAATTAAACTATCCATTTTTTTCTGAACCAACCCAATTTTTAAAACAGATTTTTGTACCTGACCTATCATTTTGGTCCCCAGATTACCATGCTTTTAAAAATACTCATTGTTCTAACATACTGAAGAGCAAGACCACTTTTAAAAGTTATCTGAGCTGATAAAGATATTTGAATTAAAGGCTTTCAGACTGACATATGCTGGGAATAGCCCTGCTGTTTATAGGAAAGAGATCTGGATATAGAAAAAGTGATGATTAATGCAACTCAATGCTTAAGTTGCAGGAAAAAAAGATATTTGGTAATTTTAAACATTAATCAAAATTTTGAAAAGGCCATTTTGCTAAAGAACGTAACTACAAACATCTTCTGCATTCATTCCTTAAGGGATCAGCCAACTACTGCAGTTCTTAGATTACGATCTTAAAATTTTACATGTTCTCTCTGTAAAATGCACTGAACTATGTCAACAGACAAAATTAATCATTTCTCTACTACCACACAGCTCACAGAGGTATTTGTCCACTTGCTTGGTATTGATGTAAATACAAATAATCTTACCTGGCAGAAAACTGAACAAGTGCATACTGAAGAGCCTGCCTGATTTCCAGAAGAAATGATTCATCATCACTTAGTGTGTAATACCAATACTGCACATAGTCTCTCAGGGAAAACTGGATTACCTGAAATTGGAAAGGAAAAAAGAAAGAGGAATTAATGAACACAGGACAACAAAATATAAAATAGCTTTTTGTGTCTGATAATGCAACCGCAGTCTTCTGAAAAGATTACCACCACAGTGAACCATACTCCTCTACAGTTACAAAACAGCAAGTAAAACAAAACCATATTGGTTTACATGCATTCAGTGCCGCTATGCTGAGAAACTATAACATAAAGTAAACATACTCAAATATTGCCCAATATCCTGGCCCATTCTCAATGTTTTTTTATTTACCACTCTCAAATACGATAAAATTTCTCAACTTCTATTTGTCTCTCAGACACCTAGATATTACATAGTCAATACTGGAAAACACAAAAATTGGTTAAATAGTCCTGGTTAGAACTTACCTGCTGCAAAGGCTCATCAATTATATTTGCACCCGTCAGTCTTCTGTCAATCTTAATAGGTCTGGCTTCACGTTTCATCTCTTCTATGCACTTGAAAGAGATTAGAAAACAAATTTTTGCAGTTTTTATCTATAATTAGAAATCAGGTCTATTGCTTATGATATGTGTATACTTCCAGAAACATTATACAACACTTTCCCTATTATTGCAATTTATAGAATAGATATTACCTTTATTTTTCACAATACATTAAAGATGAGGAACTAACCTGAAAACCTGTCTTACTTAGTAAAGGAGTAAGTTTGCTAAAATAGTAGATCAGAAGGAAATAAAACTCAAATGGTTATGACAGTAGGGAAGGGAAGATGTGATGGCAGCACAAGATAGTTTGTAAGAACCAGTTCCATACTTGACTGTGAACTTCCTGTGCAACCTCAGGTAGGTGACTGTTCAGTTGTTTGGGGTTTTTTTTTTCCCCTCAGTTTCTATATCCATCTCAGTTTATTCTATATGCCAGAAGAGAAAGTACTGTTCTGTACCATCACTACTTGACAGGCGAGTTTTTAAAAAGTAATTATGAGGACGTAAACAGTTACTTTATGGAAGGACTTGCAATTCAGAGCAGTTAACTCCAGGAATGACTTCAGAGCTGGCTTTTGGTGAGTGACATACTGAAAAAGAACACCCTTCCTCAGTGTTTCACTGGGTGGACTATTACAGTGTCTTTCTACAAACTTAACATGGAATTCGCAATAAACCCCTTTATTTTCACAGAAATAACAACTTACACTATTGTAAAAAAACAAAACAAAACAAAGTTATTTTATTCTTTGATCTAGAGAGAAAGTTATAACTGTATCAGAAACAGAGAACAACCACCAAAAACCATAAATGAAAAAATTATAAAACCGTATGTCCAATGTTTCTATCCTACGTGACTCTCCTTAGGTATCTCTCATTCAAACCAGTTAACAGTGAATGGTAGTGAAACACCTGAGGCCAGAAAACTTTCCTCCTTCTACTGAACTCGGTATCACAACACAGAAGTATTTTGTTGCAAAATTCTCTACAGTTTAACTTACAAGACAAGGAAATGGTTTGATCCTACTTTAATATGAATAAAGTTGCCCTGCATTCAAACAATATTCTAGCTATAGAGCAATACGCTAGCAAAATAATTTTGTCTTGACAGGATCAAAAATACAAAAAAATAAATAGCAGAATAATGAAATAATTTTAGTAAGCACAGCATAGTTCAAATTGCAAAACAAAACAGTTAAAAGACAGTTTTGAAGCTTGCATTTTATGCACATTTGGAAAACACGGAAGAAAAAGCAGCAGTAAAAAAAGGAGCAGCCAGAAGAGATAGAGGAACACAAAGAGTACGCAAGGTTACTTGGTAAAAATCTGAATGTTCATAGGCTCAAGAGGATTCAGGTTTGGGGTCTGGACATCAGGAATTCATCTTGTCCAACCTCCTGCTCAAAGCAGAGCCAACTACTATTAAAGCAGGACTGAATCTATAATTTTTATTGAAAATAGCATTCCAGTTACCAGTTCAGAGGGCTCTAAACTGGCCTTTCAAACATTATTTTAATATAAAGCTGCAGACAATTGCATATCTTACAGAGCCAGCACATTATGGCACCGTTGAGTACATTCCTGACACAGAAGTTATCTAAAACTGACTTGCAAGAGGAAAATCAAATCTAATCCTAATTTTTAAACCTCATTGTGTGTATGCACACACAAACACATACAGAAAAGCAAAGCAGAAAAGTAAATAATCTTACCTCCAACTAACATAACTATTTCTCCTTAACGCAAGACATTCATTATATATCCACTACTAACTATAATAAGCAGCAACGAAGGAAACCTATCTGCATTAAATCCTGTGTTGTAATTTAACAGTCTGGCACATTCTAACACATTATTTCCATCCACAATTTTGGTGCTCAAAATTTTAACTGATTACTTTAAAATCATGAGTTTGAATATCCACCCTAGCCTAAAAAATCCCTCAGCAGCAAAATACCCTCAAAACATTGATTAAAAACTCCAAATGCCTTTGGGGAAAAGAGCTTCTTGTAACAAATCTGTATCATCAGATTACTTCTCAAAGTACAGTATCACAAAACAATATTGAGGTGAATTCAGTTTGTACTTGGTTCATAGAAGAAGCATAACCTACACACGAGCCACTTGAAAGAATATTTATTGTTCAAGACAGATCACTTAAGGCCACAATGGTTTTAAACAAAACTATTTCAAGCTAAAAATAGTACTTTCGATACAGGTAAGTCAGCAGAAATTTAATACAGAAATGGCAAATAGGAATCCTAAGAAAACCACACATTTGGTTTAGGTTAGGACTCATCTCTTCCTGCACTGCTACTGAAAAGCTCAGCTAAACTAGCTAATGCAATTTTAATACAATGGCAAAAAGAAATATAAAAGACTATTGCAGAAGACAAATATATTTTAGTTGGAGAACTTCATATAGCATTTGCTAAGCCAGCTACAAATAAATATCTTTGTACTACAAAACTCAAATCTAGACATTAGTCAAGACAGGTAAGTTAAGAAAAGTGATGTGTCAATAACCCACACTCAAATCAGAAGTCAAACAACTGAATTTGCAAGGATTACACACAAAACACACCCCACAACATCTTATTCTTTTATAAAGCAACCAGAGCATACACGTGCACTAAGCTCAAAAAAGTAACATTAACATAAAAACGGTTTCAGCAACGCAGAGGAGATTTAGAAAAAAACACAACAGAAAAACTTGTAAATCTCTCGAAACAGGAGATACAAGCAACACTCCACAATCCATATAATATAAGCACTGAAGTCTATATAGCACCAAGAACCTTAGTCCCCTAAAATGAGGTTTCACTAACATAACAGAATCATTAGTTGATTGTTGACTTGCCTTTTTTCAGCCCTAAACTTTGTATTTTCATTTGGACCAGTGACATTACTTTACAATTTAAAATAATATTTATGTTTCAGATTTATCTCAACAGATTCAAAGACCCAAGTGAAAATGTCACCTACTAACTGAGCTATGAACCAATCACAAAAAAGTTCTGTGATGAGAAAATGTACTGCTGAATCACAACATAAATTTCTTGCTATGTGCTACTGATAAGAAAGCTGAACCCCCTCTTTCACAGACAACACGAAGTGCAGTGACTGACAGCTAAGAAAGGGCAGGATGCTTCAGTCAAAACAGTTGTGACATTAAATAGAACGTAACTAGCAATCTTTGATTTAAAGTGCTTTCTCTGTTTTGATTAGTGTAAACAGATTAGGCCAAGATATATCTAAACTTCTGAGCTGGTGAGAGGTATTGGTTCATAAACCAGGAATTCCTAGAAATTCTACTTCTTGGCTATTAAGAATTTATTCTATGCTAAAGAGATGCAGGTTTATCCAGTTAGGAACCCTGAATTTACGTCTATCAAACAAAATGATGTGTCTGTCAACAATTCAGAAAAGAGAAGAATTGAAAAGGGGATCTCACTGTTGCTCCACATTTATGTATGCATTTCCAGGATTTGTGCTTGGTCTTAAAGACAGCCAAAGATAACAACCGCTACATCCCTGAAGTACTGTAAATCTAGACTTTATTAACAGTTTAATCTCATTAGTTAGGCAAGCAACTTTCTGAGCACAAACAAGCAAAAGAATTAAAACTAGAGAAGTTACAGATCTGGTGATAGAAGAATCCCAAATAGTCATGACAATCGTGTAAGAAAAAGCAAGGAGTTACCACTCTCTCTCAAAAAACCCAACATGCACAAGTAGTTTAGAAAGGAATGGTTTATTAATTTCCTCACAGATAATATTAGCCAGTTACATCTTATCATTGCTGATAATGAAGCCAGAAACTGAACTTGAAACAGAATTTCCATAAATGCTTAAAAAGCTTGTATTTCAAAAAGGAAAATCTTGCATTTCACTTGCATGTTGCAGCTGCCTCAAAGAATAAAAGCAGGCTTATTTTACCTTGGGAAATGGGCACAGTTCTTAGATTACAACTGATAATCAGTATCATCCTAATTTTCAAAATTAACTTCTAGATCAGATTTTATAAGACCAGTAAATTCTCCTTACCTTTGGGATCCCAACTGATGTACAAGGAAGAAATGAATGTTCACACTGCTCAAGGTATTTTTCTGAGTTGCTTTTTCCAAATAAAAGAGTAACCACAAAACCCCTAAAATGGAAAAAGAAAGACCAGCTAGAACAAGTCATCTTTCCCCCCTCCTAGAAAATATGTCACAGCAGGTTATGAAATGACAATATATGACATTTCTCACTGTTTACTCTCCTAGTAGAGCACTTTTCAAGAGTATAGCATGCTGTTCAAAGTAACTGACGAAATACTAAATATGAAGTTTCTCAGTCTTGCATTATCAGTCTTGATAGATTCTTATCAGACAGCAGACCTATATAGCAGTCTGTACTACACAGCCTACTGCATGAGAAGAATCTGATGGCATGCTACCTCTTCTTCCATCACAACCCTACAATGATATTTCAATTAGGACTTACAATTAGGTAGGACAGCTGTTAATTTTATTATTGTTTTCTTTATGATATAACAAAGGCATAAGAGAAAAAACAACCATTACAAAAAGTTCACCCTTGCTACAGTAGCAATAATTTATTTACAACTTATGACACTAGGGCACAAAACCACATAAAGCTGGCTTTGCTAAAAAGTAGATAAAAACCTAAGGACTGTGCCAATTATAGCATAAGCAAAGGTTGCAGACTTTGAGAAGTCAAGCATTAAAAAGAAAGAAGATAATATGAAGTTACTGCTGCTCGGACTAGCCTTGGGATGGCTAAACACACATGGCTTCTGACACAAATTTCAAAGCATCCAATTTAAAGGCCAGCTAACCAACACTGGTGACCACAGGAATTCACAATGTTATTCCAGGCTTGAAACGTGCTGAAATAATACATTCTATTAATATAGATTGCTGTAGATATGTGATACTCTTATGTGATTAGAATAAAATTCCTAGGCAAGGTAAAATACGCCATTTAAAGGCTTTAAATCCCAACTTGGGAA